ATGACCATGGAGGAGCTATGACCATGGAGGAGCTATGACCATGGGGGAGCTATGACCATGGAGGAGCTATGACCATGGGGGAGCTATGGACCGTGGGGGAGCAATGACCATGGAGGAGCAATGACCATGGAGGAGCTATGACCATGGAGGAGCTATGACCATGGGGGAGCTATGACCATGGGGGAGCTATGGACCATGGAGGAGCAATGACCATGGAGGAGCAATGACCATGGAGGAGCTATGACCATGGAGGAGCTATGGACCATGGAGGAGCTATGACCATGGGGGAGCTATGGACCATGGGGGAGCTATGGACCATGGGGGAGCTATGAACCATGGGGGAGCTATGGACCATGGAGGAGCAATGACCATGGAGGAGCTATGGACCATGGAGGAGCTATGACCATTGGGGAGCTATGGACCATGGGGGTGCTATGGACCATGGAGGAGCAATGACCATGGAGGAGCTATGGACCATGGAGGAGCTTTTACCATAGAAGAACTATGACCATGGGGGAGCTATGGATGGTGGAGGAGGTGGAGGAGCTATGAACCATGGGGGAGCTATGGGCCATGGGGGAGCTTTGGACCATGGGGGAGCTATGGACCATGGGGGAGCTATGGACCATGGGGGTGCTTTGAACCATGGGGGAGCTATGGGCCATGGGGGAGCTTTAGACCATGGAGGAGCTATGGATCATGGAGGAGCTATGACTATGAAGGAGCTATGACCATGGGAGAGCTATGGATGGTGGAGGAGATGAAGGAGCTATGGACCATGGAGGAGAAATGAACCACGGAGGAGCTATGAACCATGGGGGAGCTATGGGCCATAGGGGAGCTTTAGACCATGGATGAGCTATGGACCATGGGGGAGCTATGGACCATAGGGGAGCTATGGACCATGGGGGAGCTATGGACCATAGGGGAGCTATGGACCATGGGAGAGCTATGACCATGGGGGAGCCTATGACCATGGGGGAGCTATGACCATGGGGGAACTATGAACCATGTGGTAGCTTTAGACCATGGGGGGCTACGGACCGTTGAGGAGCTATGGAGCATGGAGGAGCTATGGACCAAGGAGGAGCTATGGACCAAGGAGGAGCTATGAGCATGGGAGAGCTATGACCATGGAGGAGCTATGTATGGACCATCGGGGAGCTATGACCATGGGGAGCTATAGACCATGGGGGAGCTATGACCACGGGGGAGCTATGGACAATGGAGGATCTATGACCATCGGGGAGCTATGACCATGGAGATGCAAGCTTTGGACCACAGGGGAGCTTCTCACAGAAGGGAGCAGTTCTAAGCTGATATGATTNTGACCATGGAGATGCAAGCTTTGGACCACAGGGGAGCTTCTCACAGAAGGGAGCAGTTCTAAGCTGATATGATTTACCACTCTATGTATGTTATGATGTATTTATGTTCTCATCACCATCTTGTTCCTTACAGGCTATCCTAAGCTGCAGAGCTGAAGGAGAGTCTAAAATGAAAGACCTGCTTGGAGAAATGGAGAAGCTGTGTAATCAGGAGGACCCCGATGGAAGGAGGACACTGGATATTTGTCTGTTGGTCAGAGAGATGCAGAATCAGTGGAGAACATCCCTCCAGACTGCAGAGGAGGCTCTCAGGAAAGCAGAGACACAAGCCATGGTGGAAGAGCTGCTGGCTGCTTTCCAAACCCACAGTGAACGCTTTGAGGCCTGGATCAAAGACCAGAGAGATGTTCTAGATTCTCACATGGAAGCTGAAGAAACCCTCCAGAAAGCAGAGGTGTGTGTTATCCCCAAGGTGAAATTGTTTAAGATAAAATGTTAAAGCAGCTTCACAGGTTTTCATCCCCTTCCTTTAGGCCATCCTGAGCTCCAGGCCTCAGGGGGAGTCCAGGCTGCAGGATCTGAAGCAGCAATGCCAGAAGATCTGTGAGATCTTAGGCTCTGATGACAACCGGAGGAAAGAGATCTGTGATGTTGTGGAATGCATGGAGGAGCAGTGGAGGAGTGTCCTGCAGGACGCTGAGGTGACTGAGAAGAAAGCGACAAGCCAAGCTGCCACTGAGAGGGAGCTGGAGGCTTTCAAACATCTGGATGAAAGCTTCCAGTCCTGGATCAGAGAGCAGAGGCAGAAGCTGCTGGGGCTGGATGCTCGCCTGCCCTTTGAGGAGCGCTGGCAGGCTGTGCAGGTAAGCAGGACAACTGATCGTGGAGGTTTTATTTATTCTGTAGGACGTTATCTCTTACCTGAATGACTTACCCCATCACCTGCTCAGCAGTGACCTTTTCACTTATGGTTCCCTTTATTTCAACACTTATCAGCTTTGCATTGGAATTAAATAAATTTAATCTATTTATTTTATTGTTTATATTATCTACTTCTTCCAAAGTACTTTGAATTACTTTGTAAACAAATAACTGCAAAGCAGAAACTTGTTTTTCAGGCAGTAATGAGGTCCAGACCTGAAGGAGAGTCCAAGCTGCTTGAGCTGCAGGAGCAATCAGCCAGTCTGTCTCAGCAGCTTGAGGAGAGCAGGCAGGCAGAGGTGGAGCAGCGGCTGAACGTTTGCAGACAGATGTGGGGCGGTCTGCTGCAGACCTGCAGACAAACAGAGCTCCGCAGTCTGCTGGACGACTTCGACCACCAGAGCAAAAACACAGAGTCCTGGATTAAAGAGAACCAGAACAGGCTGCAGTCCGTGGGCCGACACTGCCCCCCTGAGGAGAGACACTGCCGGGCACAGGTCTGC